AATATTGAACATAATGTGCTTTACGTCTACAGAGAATCTACACAGATTCCTCCATAATTTCCCAGTAGACACCACCAGCCTTTCAGAGCTCAGGAAAGTCATGCTAGTGATCTGGAGTTTGGATAGCTTCCCTTGGTTTAGAGCCATGTGGTGTTGTCTCTGTCCTTATACTCAAAGCCTCAAACTTTGAGGCTTTGAGTATAATCAAAGGTTTGATTTTCCACAGTGTTTGTACAGAACAAACAAGATACAAGTTGTCAATACAGCCAGAGGGTTGTTTGACCTTTGGACAGAACCAGGTTAGCCAGTTGCCCCTGTTTGAAAGCTGGTTGATAAGATAGTGGTGGTTCCTCAGGTCCCATATGGTCTAGCGGTTAGGATTCCTGGTTTTCACCCAGGCGGCCCGGGTTCGACTCCCGGTATGGGAACTACAGTTTTAGGGAGAGAGAGAGTATGAATCCAACACTGATTTGGTTTCTTGGAGCAAGATTACCTTAACTGATTTGTCGACACCTAAACGCGCTTAAACATCTCAACAAAACAATTACATGTCAATGGGCCTTTCCAATATATCGGGGAACACAAAACAGATTATCATGAAAACTAAGTTAGCTTGTTATAATGATGTTACCTCTTTGGTGTTGCAATTCTAAATTGTTTAAGGAAAACACAAAACTCAGTGCAAAACAAAACATGCAGACTCCTACTTTGGTTGTTGTTGCCAAAAGGATCTGCCTGGCTCGTAGGGAGGTCGTTGGCCTGCTGAGGACGCAGGTGATTGGCTGAGAAGTGAAGGGGCGGGCAGTAACAAACCCACCTGAAAGGTGAGATTGAAAAACACTGGAAATAAAGGTTTTATGAAAAAATACATTAAATGAAAAAATGGATCATGAAATTTCATATCACAATATCTAACAGAGTTTAGGTAATTTATCTAATAATTAAATACTTGGGGCTCCAGGCGTTTTATGTAGTTTGCTGCTTGTCTTTCATTTTAGCCTCCATCCTCTCATTCACAGTTATCTCACTGTCTCCCAACTCACCCAGTTTGGTTCTAACCTCATTAAAACTCATTTGCTAATGAATGCAGATTTAGGCTCATTCTGAACAACGCAACCATCTATTCAGGATCCAAATCATTTCTGAGCATGGCTAATGGCCTGCTAGAATTCTTTTAACTGCAGTTCAAAGCAATGTTAAGTGTGGGAATCAAAATCCTTTCTCCTGAGACTAATTGTAGGAAGCACAATAGCATCCTCTTGATCTATCCTCCAGCATGTTTCCCTCTACACTGCGACTCCTCCGTCATCTGACTCATCCATTGCTCCTTTCTCTGGATAAATTATGCTAATTAAGGCAAGCCAGATACTGTTAAGCATCAGCAGTATCCAGTGAGAGGTGTGGTACAAAGATAGCCTATGAGCATTTCTCATTTTCAGCTAATTATAGCCCCTCTTGCCAAATGGTAGCATACTTAACTGACTGGGGAGTATCCCTTTGATCTTGAGCCATCATAGATCATGTATTGGAAGAAAAGAAATCCATAAATGTATGAGCAGAGTAGCCAATGCATAAATCCCTCATCAATCTTTTCTGCCATTTATTTTCTTACTTGATAATATTTATAAATGATTGCTGATTGCAGAGTAAGATAATAAGATTGATACCACTCTTCATGTATGATGAATATATAACTGGACTAGGTTTCAAGCTTATCTTAGCTTTGCTTAGCTTAAAGACTAGATACAGGGATATACAGTTAGCCCAGCTCTGTCTAAATATAACACAATTTGCAAAGCAGCACCTTATAGCGCAAGTGCTAAACAGAAAGTATAACAACACAAAATAAAGTATTTAGCAAAATAAAAGACATTCATATAGTTTCCTGGATTCCTTTGCAGGGGCCTTTAGGTTGGCTGAAAATTGTTTCCAGACAAGAAATGTTCAGGCCCATTTCAGGCTTGATTCTCCACAGTGTTTGTACAGATCAAACAAACAAGATACAAGTTGTCAATACAGCCAGTAGCTTGTTTTACCTTTGGAAAGAACCAGGTTAGCCAGTTGCCCCTGTTTGAAGTCTTGTTTGTAAGATAGTGGTGGTTCCTTAGGTCCCATATGGTCTAGCGGTTAGGATTCCTGGTTTTCACCCAGGCGGCCCGGGTTCGACTCCCGGTATGGGAACTACAGTTTTAGGGAGAGAGAGAAATCCAACCCTTGATTTGGTTTCTTAGAGCGAGATTACCCTTACTGATTGTAGGCACCTAAACACGGTTAACATGTCGACAAAACAATTACATGTCAGTGGGCCTTGTGCCTGTGTCTGTAAATTAACAACCTAGTGACAAATTGAATTTCCCCAAAGGGATTTAGGAAAGTTATGCCTCATATTAACTATATACAAGAGGTATTAATCCTCTAATTTACTCTGTTCGAGAAAAAGTGTATTTTTGATTATGATATCGATGACATAACAAGTATTGTCTCTGAGAAACTTTTGCCAAATTATAAGTCTGATAAACTGATATACTGTATGTGGGGGAAAACTTCTGTGTAGCAATGCAGTGGGAGTCACCGACTCAGGAAGGAGACACGGGGTAGAGCTGGAGCTTTGATGTCAAACACTGATGGTTTATTACGAGTTTCGGCCGGAAAATTCACATCACAAGTCACGAGCCAGAGGTTCTGACTTCACGGGAGAGTTGCCACGTCAATTCTGAAGAACTCTACCCCAGACCCATGTATTTAGCTAGTTCAGAGAGAATAATCAACATTGTGCATAACAAGATAGAATCATAACACCTCTATCAGCTGACGCCAACAGGCAGGAACAGGGAGACAAAACACTGAGAGCACAGCAGCCAAGGTTACAGGTGCGTCTGCTCTGTCAGGACAGTATGAACTGATAAACTCGGTCAAAGTTATGGACCTTGGAAAATATTTCCCCAACACTGTATAGCTTAACTTTCTTTACATTTGTACTCATTGCAGAAAACTATTTTATTGAACCCATATGATTCAAATCTGCTGCAGACATTTAAAACATAATTTCAAAACACTTAAGGTAGAATATGTACATAGTATACATTTCGTATAAAAGCTGTTACACACAGCTTACCGTGTGCACACAGGACTGCTAAGTCATGTGTGCATCTGTGTACATTCAGGCCAAAGTGTGTCCGTGTGTGTGTGTGTGTGTGTGTGTGTGTGTGTGTGTGTGTGTGTTTGTTTGTAGCCTTTATTTATCCAGGTTAAAAATCCCATTGAGATCAACGATCTCTTTTACAAGGGAGACCTGCGGTACATTGAGTTACACATATAAAAACAAACAGAAAACAAAAAGGACATCACAACATAATTACAGGGTGTGTGTGTGTGTGTGTGTGTGTGTGTGTGTGTGTGTGTGTGTGTGTGTGTGTGTGTGTGTGTGTGTGTGTGTGTGTGTGTGTGTGTGTGTGTGTGTGTGTGTGTGTGTGTGTGTGTGTGGATCATTGCAACACGAGTGCTATGGATCCACAGAGTTTCAATGAAGATTAAGAACAGTTTCCAACCGTCCAAACACCTTTCCCCACTCTAAAGACCCATCTGACAAATCCAATCCTCTCAGATCCACATTGAATGAGATGCACACACAGTTCAATCAATATCCTCTGTTTCTTGGACACGCTTGTCAAGGTCATGCATGCAGCAAAGCCTTTGGGTGATACATAAAAAGATGAGTGATAGGGCATTGAAATGCACTATGGTAGATAGAAGCTTAAAGTTGTATTTATTTATAAGATATTGAACTGGAATAAATTAACATTATGAAAGTCATTGTAATCTCCAATATCATATTAGCTGTCTCCTGCAATATTGGCACAAGGCAAGGTGAGGTGAGGGATGATGAATGAGGGGATAAGAAAGATAATCACTGCTAAATAGCACCTCTAGGATTTTGGAAATATTGAGAAACTCTTTTCTATCCTACAGCTCAGACGGATGTGTCAGTAAGCCCCGTTATTAAATCCACAAAGGATATTTGTCTCCATTTTATGATGGTAACATTTCAAAATGTTCAAAGCGAACAATCTGTCTTTGTCTAAAAGCAACATCTTAGCAATTTTCTCCATATAATAATATGTTGCTCCCCATATATACAGTCCATGGTTGCTCCTAGCAAAGGGAGATTAACCCATTTCTGTTTGTCTCTTTGGGACCAGTGTTTTAAAAATGAGAAAATGTGTTGTTTTCTTTTCAGCACTTTGCCTTGATATTTGTTTTCTTTTATATGGAAATCAAGCATTGGACCATGGAGTTTTTGGTGTGAAGAAGAAGTAACTTGTACATTATTATCTGTATATATATAAGACAATAGAAGCATCATCAAACAATTACATGATTACATTCTGTATTAAATGTGGATATAGTATTCTTAGCTCAATATGAGGAAATCATTGGTTACTTATTTATTGAGAAAACAGGAACAAAAAACGTGTGATATTTTTTAGAAATATCTATTATTATTTTGCTCCCGTAACAGATATTGTATATTATATCACAGAGATTGTGAATTGTTTGATAATACTCAAATAACATCACCATGAGACTGAAAGAAAGCATGACAGCAGTCACATTATTTGGATATAAGATTATGCAGTGTTTACTGTTGACACATAATAATTAACTTAAATGTAATAATGTATATACATGTGGATCTATTGATGTTACAGCATGCATATGAGGCAGAGTCAACAGAGTGAGTCTGCTGCTAAGTGTAATTTGGCTTTAATAAGTTTGTATCCTCACATGCTATTTTCTGTTGTTATTTCAACTATGATTTCAACGTGAAAATAGCCTCTACACAAATTAACTCATCTTATTTGTATGACTTATTATTTCAATCAGTGTGTTAAAACAATAATTACATTTGAAAATACCAAGCAGTGTTCTTACTTTGCATGTAGGGCAGGCTGTCAATCTTTTTTGCAAAACATGAATTATGCGGTTTCGTCACACAGGGATTGTCCTCCTCGGCCACCGTATGATGTCGTGGCGTTTGCTATGCACTAACTCACCATATTTACTTGATTACCGTTAGCTGTCATTTCTAGCCTATTCGGTCTACATTTGTTTACGTACACGTTACATAAACCACCGGACAGTGTTACCGTCAGTCGTTCAAGATGAGACGCGCTGGTGCAGGTAAGAGACAGACGGACATGTTTAATTTAAAGCTAATAGGTAGCTTGCTGGCTAGTTAGCAAACAGCTAGCTCACGTTAGCTAATGTTGTTGATATTGTTGTGAAACGTTACAGGGCTAATTTACAGTAAGGACAACATAGCCAACCGATTGTGTATTAATTATCGTTTCTTTCAGGTGAAGGAGGCCCTGGGAGTTATGTAGCAAGTGGCTACAGTGTGTATGAAGAGGAAAATGAACATCTACAGGAGGGATTGAGGTCTAAAGTCCACGCTTTGAAAAGTGTAAGTAACTAAATGTAGTTATATTTATATTTGGTTTAGCAGAATATACTGCACATGATCTGTGTTGTCCACTATGATAAAGGTACATTTTGTTTTTAGCTCATCTTATTGTATTTAACATGTCTATAGTTTACTCTTATATATATAGTTTCTTTTTTCACTATTATTATTGTTTTTGTCTTGAATATATTTATGTTGAGACTTAATACTTTCATTACCAAACTGTAACTACATTAGCTACTGTGCATATGATTCATATTTATTGTTGCTTGATATTTACAGCTTACCATCGACATTGGGACAGAAGTCAAATACCAGAATAAAATGTTGGATGAAATGGTGAGTTTTACTTTCTGTTCTTTCTCTTCCTGAACAATGTTAAAACACTGCATACGAGTATATAACTGGTGGAAGAGCTATTCAGATTAATAAGTAAAGGTTAACATACTACAATGTAAACAACACATTTTACAATTAAAAGTCCAGGATTAAATTCTTATGTACAGAAGTATTGGCCACAAAATAAGAACTAACACAATGTATTATGAATGGCATGCTATAATTTGATTGTTTTATTCATAGATTATCTGGAAGTATAATTTAAATGTTTCTGCTGATGGAGAGAGAGGTTATTTTAACCATTTTATACTGTTGGGTGAATAGTGCCATACTGCTCCAACAGTCACTGGAGTAATCTAGGGTATGCGTGTTACACTATGTTTGTTTGCTGCTGGCCTGGACTTTAAACTCTCTATATCCCTCTTTCCCACACTAGGACTCAGACTTTGACTCGACGGGCGGCCTGCTGGGTGCCACCATCGGCCGAGTCAAGCAGCTGTCCAGAGGCAGTCAGACCAAGCTGCTGTGCTACATGCTGCTCTTCTGCTTCTTCGTCTTCTTCGTCCTGTACTGGTTCATCAAGCTGAGGTGATAGGAGGACCCAGTTGAACTTCTTAACTCCTCATCTTCATCCCCAGCCTGTGCCATGCTGATGGATCAAACCAACATAATGCTGATGAGAACAGGCAGGGATTTTTTTCCTCAGCTACACATGTGCCCATGTATCTGAGTATTTAAAAATCCCAAATGTAGTCTTCGATAAAGTCCTTCTGATGCTGTATGATTTGAATCCTTACAAATAAACCACGGTCTAAATAATGGACCACGTGAAGTAGGTATGTGGTATCTGAAGTATGCGCAATTGGTGTACTTTATCAGCCAGTTTACAACTGATACTCCTGTGTCAATAACCTTAATGCAGTCATTAACACATTGTATGGTAAACATGATCAAATGGTAAATCTGTCATTAAGTTATAGAATGCCACTCAAAGCCAATAATCTAGTCTTTTTGCTTTTAAGAATGAATGGATAAAGTACAACATTTGGCATCCATACATAAATAGATAGTATTGTTCTTCATTGTTTATTGTAAAATATTTTTAATGTAAATAAACACATTTTATGAGATGAATTGAACAGTGTCAGTGTGCGATTTACATACTGAGAAAATCTGCCGAAAACATACAAAATTGAACTGGTTCTTTTATTATTTTTATAAATTTGTCGTTGACACACAAAAAAAAGGCATATTATTTCTTGGGATATTTATTATTAAGTTCTAGCACATTATTTTTCTTCGCCTATTCTATAAAAATAGATATAGTCTTTTAAAGGTTGGGTAGGTAAGTTTGAGAAACCGGCTCGAGATACACTTTTTGTTATATTCCATGGAATGCTCTTAACATCCCGATAGCAATGAATATCTTAAGTGCTTTGACAAAAAATCCATAACAAAATGTCATCTGTGGAAGCCGTAGTACTGGACAAAGCACGACCAATAATTTTAGCCGGCCCGGCTAAAATAACTGGATGGCCTACCTGCCTGTCAGCCTTCCATCTGCACAGACTTATCTCGTGCCCTCATTGGTCATGTGCGCGTTCGTGTGTATTTTCAAATTCTAGCGCACTTGAGCTGGTTTCTCCAAAATTACCTACCCTACCTTTAACTGACTCATTACATAGCAATACAATTAGGAAGTTCACATTTATATGTTCATGAAAACAAAACAGGAGCTTCATTATTCTGTGTGTTTAAATGTGTAAGTCTTTTGAACTACATACAGTTCAGTCAAAACAATCAAAGGCAAAATGCAAAACTAACATGCTTACATAAGTCAAGCATCTTAACATACTGCACTTGGGTGATTTGTGTTAAGCAGTTCATTGTAAGTGATTAGCACAATATCAGCAGTACAGTAGGTGGTGATTGCATCAGTTCTTGGGAAGTGTGCCCATGTACTTGCAGATGATTCCCAGCATAACCTCATCAGCGCCTCCACCAATCGACATCAACCTAGAATCTCTGTAGAAAGGACCAGAGATATACAAACAGTCAGACACAACACTGACTCCTCTTGAATTTTCCCATGACTCAAAACTATCGTCTAAAAGCTTCATGAACATATGAAAGACATTTTCCACAACCAACTTTGAGCTCTGTTGGTCCTTCTGTCATTCTTGTGATCCACAAATGACATCTCACTGTGGAGCCATGGACTTCATTCAGACCAGTATAATTGTGGAAAAGAAAAGTATACTGAGAGAAGGAGCCATACTTTCAGGGATGGATCACAAAGTTGGCAAACGTGGCATCCTACAAACGCATTTCTTTTAAAGTTCGAAGAACAGGACTGAGAAATATGTGGTAGATTGAGGAGACTACCTTAAAATACATTGTGAATGAGGACAAATGTTGAAGTAAGCTCCATGTACAAAACACTCTAATACACAGCACACACTCATTATGTATTTAGAAGTCATTTGTTTTGTTAACCAAAATGTGATAATGTTTATCAAAAATGTCTAAAAAAATAAAAAAAGGAGTTTCCTTTCTAACTTAAAGGACACCTATCATGCTATATTTAAATGATATATTGTAGGGCCATACCTATATAAGGTATATTTATACGTTTCTGTTTTCAAAATACCAAACAGATCATGCATTTTAGCCATGCCTCATTGCGCTCTATGTGCTGTTTGCTGTCTACGGGGCTGATCTCTGTGAGCTGCAGCTGACCACGCCCCCCTGCAGGAGAGGGTAGCCGTGCTCTGATCAAGTCAAGAGGGGGAGAAAAAAAGATCTCCGTCCTCTGTGTTTTATTTATATATACAGTCTATGGTTTTATTATTTATATTTTAGTATTATTATTATTTATTGTTATAGGCCTATAGAGTCGTTATTCATTTGTTTTAAAGCTCAATAAATAACAAAGACGACCTTTGACCGGCACTTTTCTAATTTTGTCCGGAAGATTTCAACTTTAACGGACATCTTGACCGGCGAAAGAAACTGAAACTGAAACTCTGCCGCACGGTCCCCTCGTTCCTTGGAAGAGGCGGAGAGGTGGGTGTTTGTCATCTGCTGGTGGACTAACCGGAGAGAATTACAGTGCTTGCCTCGACGGGGAGGGATTGCATGGAATTACAGCAGCGTGAGCAAACGCTTGCCTCGGGGAGGGAGAAAAAAAGCCACAGCGGAGAATAAACAGAAGGGTAACCATGGTAACTATGGGCGGGAAGTCTTCTTCGCTGCTTTTGTGGCAGACTACAGCGCCACTTACAGGCCTGGCATATGTACTACAGCGTCTCCAGCGCTTTCGAGCCGTGGCCCAATCCCACATTCCCCTGATAGGTGGAGAGTTGGCCCAATAGCCGTAGCGCCACTTCTGTGACGTCATAGAAGTGTTCAAATCTGGATCAGTCTGTATCAGATCCGTTGCAGCCCCTTTTTTAGAGATTTGGGTATGGAGGAAAATAGAGAGGGTTGTGTTTTCTGACACTTGGTGAGTTCCCTGGAACACCGGGGACACATATTCATGTATAAAAGACCTACAAAAGTGCATTTTGCATGATAGGTCCCCTTTAAATTACATTTAATTCACATGAACAATGGCTTCAATCAGGTTTTTCACGGTCGTACATCCTGAACCCCTTGTTCAGCTGCATTATTTGCCCCATCAGTAGATGTCAGCACAGCATAACATAAGGTTTAAAATAATCTGAGTTAAACACAGTGTTACTTGATTGAACAATGTATAAAAAATGAGGATACTCGAAGTCCAACAGTGCACAGCAGGAGACTGAGCCTAATTGTGTGCTTTCAAAGATTATTATTACTTGATTACATGCTATGTTTATGTAGAAGCCATCACTCAATCTGATTCTCACCATCTGGTTTAACTTTTCTTAAAAAAATACATGGACCACAAGCTTTATCTAGCTCCTGCCAACTGGTGAGGTTGCTCTTACCATGGAAACATTATACCCTCTAAAAAAGCATACTTGGCAGCCAAATATAACCATAGTTGGCTAGCAACGGGTGTTAGTGACTGGTGCTGCTATGTCATGGTTTTTTGCAGTTTGTTTTCTTGGATGAGATGAAAAATGCAACACAAGGGTAAAAATAATTGAATTGTGGTAAATGCTATAAATCACTGTGATGGAAAACACAGGAAACTCATTTTCAAAACCAGATCAGTGAACATTACTAGACTCACCTGTAAAATCTGCTGACCAGCACGTCACTGGTGAAGCCCATTCCTCCCCAAAACTGGAGGCAGCTGTCGCCCACCTCCCTGGCCAGGCGGCCCCCCTTTAACTTGGCCATGGATGCCAGCTTGGTGACGTCATTGCCTTTAATGTACAATGCTGCAAAGAAATAAAGAAAATATGTATTGAGAAGGCGGGTATAAAGGCATTATAAAGAATGTCGGGAGGAAAACAAAGACCGTAAACAAATGATGTTCAGTTTCACCGGTGGCTGATCAGTGCCTCTATTATTTCTCTACGTACCCTCCAGAGAAAACATGTGTGAGCTGTTTATTTCCTGTTGAAATGTGTGTTTATCTACCTGTGCCAAACAGATGCAAGCTTTCATCTGTTTCTGGGCAAGCAAATCGGATGAGCTAGAATTCACTCAAAGCTGGCCACCAATGAAGTGGTTACAAACACGACGAGAAAATCACAAGACCTTGAACACACGCCCGCCAGATGCACCCTCGTATTCTAAAGCACTAGCGATGTATTTTGAAACAAGTGGGTATGAGCCAGTTTTTGCAGGTGGGTTTTGAAGTTATGCCAGTACACCCAAAAACAACTGCAGTGTGTAAGAGCCATTAATCGTTTGATACCTTGAGCTCCTCCTGTCTACAAGTATCCTTAAGCAAAACACTCAACATTTGCTCCATAACAACACTTACCTTTTTTTTTAAAGTTTGAAATGTATGCTAAGAGATTAATGCATCAACACATAAATAATGGTATTACACAGGGAAGATTCAATTAGAATAGCTCTTGATGCCTGTGAAACATGCCTGAAAAATATCTTCTTTACAAAGCAGAGTAAAATTCACCAGTTCGGGCAACTTATCCAGGAAATTCTTGTTGTTTCAGAAATATAGCAGCAAGCAATTTTGATGCCAAGTAATCACTGTTCTGTCTACAGCCAGCCAGCCATATTGTTGTTTACTGTTACCTTATCACTACTAAGCTAGCACATCACTCTCCAGCCAGCACTGTTCCCTTTATCTTCTAACCCAACCTACTGCATTGTATTACAAATTACAAACTCAAGGCTGGTTTGGCATTCTCATTATTCTTGCATTGCAGAGTGAACCGTGGCCTTTCATACCGAGTCTTCTAATGTATTGAGTGCCACAAGGACAGCGACATGCATTTATTTGGAAGGATTTTCTTAAAATACTGCACATCTAAGCAAGTCTGTTGGATATGCAATATCTGGATTTGAAATAAGTGTAGCTACCTCATTATGTTAAAAGGAAACCTAATTTAGACAAGGTGTATGTTTTAAGCACATTTTCAAAATAAAGGCAAACATAGCCAAAGGTGTAATTATGCATGTAAAGAAGAGACAGATGCTAAAGGTCACCTATTATGCAAAATCCACTTTTTCATGTCTTTTATACATTAACATGTGTCCCCTCGAGATTCGCTCACTTTTTGTGATTTTGGCCACTTTATGATGTCATAAAGGTTTTTTGGCTTGTGTAACCATTAGCCAATAACCAACCAAGGTAACACCCCCCCCACCTTATCACCTGAATCTCCTCCTAGAGCACCATTGTGTTATTTTTAACCAAATATCTCTCAGAGGGGCGTGGGGAGTGGCTCCTTATTTTCATCTAAAGTAACAGACAGAGAATCAGCACTTTTGAAACAGGGCTGAAACAGAGGGGATTATGGGATGCTGCAATGATCTGTTTGGTGTTTGGAGCCAAACACTTCAGAGACATGTTTTGTATATATTTGAGAAATATAATATATTGATGAAAAAGAGTATAATAGGAGACCTTTAAAACAACAACATCAACACTAATACAAGTCAGAAACACACATATTTGAAAACTATATATATGTACAGTATATAATACTATATTGATGTATGTGCCTTAA